TATGTATATATATATATATATATATATATATATATATATATATATATATATATATATATATATATATATATATACATTTGTTATATATATATATATATATATTAATACAATTGTTGATGTAATTTTTTTTACACTAGGGAGGTTGCAAATATATGCCAACTAAATATTAATAATAAGACACCAATTCTTCTAAAAAATGTTACAAATAGTAAATAAATAATCATTTATAAAATTATTGTAAATATAACAGTGTAATTATTTGTGTCCTAAGAAATAGTGACTCTAAAAAGCCTCACAACAAAGTTACTTTTTTTTTTTAATCCTCTGTGTATTCAGATTGACACTATAAATACTATATATATTTTGTATTTAGATCTGTATATATAAGTAAATTTTTTTTTAATTTTATGGTGACTTTATTTGAAAATCAGTTAAGCAGTTTTTCAGGCTATATCTCCACACAACAAAAAAAAAAATCTGAATTTATTGATTTTTATGCTAAAGTAATGAGTTTTTGGCGCATAAATATTGACAGTTCTATATGAATAGATAAACTGCAACTATATTAATTCCTTCATCTTTGGTTGTTTGGCTTTAGTGTATTGACAATTATTAGGCTAACCAGTTGGTCTACACACCCTTGTTTGTTTGCTGTAAAATATTTGACTGTACTTTCTCTCAGAAAACATATCTTTATGCCAATCTTTGGTTGTTCATATTTTGTAGCATTTGCAAATGCTAGCATGTCATTTACATTTTTTTCAGAAAGAACAGACTTTGAGGCAGGCTTATATTTCTTTATTCCGAAATCAACAGCAGCAAATGGTTTGTAGGCTAGGTGAATCACAAGCAATTGATGACTCTGCAATGAAAAACAAAGGTTCTATTAGTTGTAATCAAGCAAAAAATTGCTTATTTAAGCAGTCAATACTTGAATTAACTAAGTATGCAACACTGAATTAAATTTGAAATTATTTATATTCTCAAAACCTTAGTTTAAGTTAATTGAAAACACTATGAATTAAATAAACTCTTAAATACGCTGAAGTTGTTTAAGAGTTTATTTAATTTATTAAGTACTAAATTTTTCTGTGTAACTAATTCTGTTTAAGTTTAAGTAAACACTGTTATTAAAGTACCTTACCTCAAAGTTGTTAACAAGGCCAAAAGTAGCAAGATTAATACCAAAGACAAGGCCAAGTCCAAGAGTTTTAAGGTCAAGGCCAAGATTAAGAGTTTCAAGGCCAAGGCCTACGAAAACATTTTCGAGACCAAACATTTTAATTTTTGCCTTACAATAAGTCCAGTTATTTAAAAAACTGTAAGTAGCAAATGCTGTGACAATAAAACCACATTTTGTAAAAATAGACCAAGGTTATGCGCAGAATTTAACAAAATCAATAAAATATGTATTTTATCTTAAGGCCATGACCAAAACAGTCAAGGCCAAGGCCAAAATTTTCAAGGCCAAGGCCAACAGGAACCTAAATTTTTGGCCTTAAGGTAAGGCTAAGGACAAACAACTCTGCTTTACCTCTTAACTGTTAATGACATATTTGTAGGGTTCGCACTGTCGGCGCAGACATGCGCAGATCTGTGCAGACATTATAATTTGTCTGCGCAGACGTCGGCGTCGACAAAATTTATTATTACTGCTAAAATATACTAAGGTTCGTCTCTCGGCGCAGATCTGCACAGATATTATTACTGACGATTTATTGAAATCAACAAAAAAAGTTTTAAGCTTAAAAAATGTTTTAAGTAATCTTTTAACTTTATTATAAATTCAGTGATTAGTAACAATAGGAGTTTTCAAAGATTCTTACAGTAATAAAAATATATAATGCTGGCGTCTATTCGGTGATTTCTTGACATTCAATTTCATTGAGAATTGCACCTTCTTCAAGAATGTAATCAGTCTTTCATTTGTGTCCATCAGCACGCTATTGGTATACAAGAATACTAGCTTTTCGACTCTCTCATTTGTAAGACGATTTCTTAGTCGCGAGTGAATAAATCGAAAGGTCGACCAAGCTCTTTCTGCTGTAGCCAATGAGCAGATCATTTCGTTAATAGGCTTAGCAATTTCATAAAGAGCAGGATATTTATCGCGACCGATAATGTTCCAATAATTTCGCGAGTTCATCTTGAATATTGTTTCCTTTCTTCTCTCAGGCAGCACAGAAATTTCTCTTATATAAACAATCAATTCATTCTCAGCAGTGGCAGCAATTTCAGGTTTGATCTTTTTGGGGAATTCAACTGTAGCAGTGATAAAATCGGCTTTATCTTCATTCAAATATAAACCTTCTGCGGCATTTTTGGGCGTTAATATGAAAGCAATTCCAATACATGGTGTAAAGAGAAAATTGAGGCGAGATTGCACTTTTTGTTGTATGTCTTTATCGTCCATATATGAATGGTACATTTGACCAAAGTAATCATACACGAGAGACAATGGAGCTGTATCACTTTCTAGCTTTCCGATCACGTTGGAAGGAAATTCAATGCTTTTGACAAGCTTAGAGAGACGGTCCCAAAATGGGTTAGATTTTATCAATGCCATAACAGCAGCAAATGTATTCTTTGGTTGAATTTCTTTCAGTAATGGACTTTCTTCGTCTACCAACTTAATAAAAACGTATTTTATTAGCTGGAGACTGCTCATTAATTTATAATAACTAAACCATCGTGTAGATACAGGCATGGACAAT